TTTAATTTGAAGTCATTTAGAGTTCATAATACTAGAGTCAAAGTGTTGTTTTTTCATTTGACCAAATTTGACTTGGTCAAACTTGCTCAAATGAGACACTAAATGACCTCAGATGAAAAAACTCTGAATACCAAGTTTGATCATCTCAGCAAGATCTACAATTGTTACATAGCTCATTTTCTCATTTGAGAAAGTTTTATCAAACACTAGTCACAAATTCTTGAATCTCATATAGACTTTCTAAAACTTTATCACGCACTTGTAAAATTTGAACTACATTTTGTTCAAACTTTCTCAAATGAAAAATGGCCTATATAAGGATTGTAGATCTTGAATCCATGACCATGACTCCATGAGACCCATGAATCCATGAGCTTGGCTATTTCTACTCATGCCGCGAAGATTGGTGCTTATATGATGTTTGATGTATGATGTATCTGTATCTTTATCTTATTTGTTGCTTTACTCTTTAGTCTTTCGGCTTAATCTAGATGGATTATGGACTCATAGAGTGGTGTAATGGTTTACGCACGTATGATATATATATATATATATATATATATATATATATATATATATATATATATATATATATATATATATATATATATATATATATATATATATATATATATATATACTCAATATCCGAATAGATATTTGTATCCGACCTTCTCCGAATTCGATTCATACCGTATTCGATACTCATTATTCGTATCCGTAACCGAGTCAATCCGTATTCGTATATGTATCCGAACGCTATCCGTGTCCGAATCCAAATTCAAACAGAAATATGAAAACAAATATAATATGAGTGATATCCGTTCGTATCCGATCCGTTTTCATCCCTACTTGCTATTTCCCCTCCTTCATTGGCAGTAAATTCAGCTATGAAATGCAAGCACACACATAGCTCTGTTGCTGGATTTTGTAAAGCGGTGAATGGAACCATTGATCTTTTTGGGCACTTCGTCTAGATGCTTTGATCGGTTGTCCTACGGATTCTAAGAGTAAGAGGACATATCAATCAGCGGGTTTTACGCCATTCTTGCTGTTGTCTTCGCTTCTTTTACTGAAGCTTTGATTTTGTTTTGCTTTCTATTGCTGGATTTTGGAAAGCAATGAACAGACAGTTTGACACAATATTTCTTTTATATTTTAAATTGGATCTCTCTACTCTACCTGCTATATCTTGCATAACCTAAGACATTGTGCATGTTATGAACCCTACATCATGGATGACAAGGTAGTGTTTTTATTGCATTAATTAGCCCTCCTTTTTCTGTTGCTCCTCTTCATATGCCTACTATTGAAAATCGTGAAAGTTCTTTTCAGCTACGACACTCGATGGAAGACATATTCTGGCTTTTCAAAAATCTTGATCTAAGACTGATGTTATAAGAAGGATCCTGAACCTAACTGTAACTATTAGTTGTGTAATGCATGTTTGAGAGCAGAAGTACGACGGCTCATAATTTGTGCTATGTACTCATTGAAATAATGTCGGCCATTATATGTACTGACGCTAATTGTGATAATGGCAATGACTGTATCTTAGCTATATTTGTCAGTCAGATTGGTATGCCCAGAAATCATTGCAGGGCGCCCGAAGGGCGTCCATTATCATAAATTCATCATAATACATACTACCTGAATGATATCCTGAAGCTAACACCATTTTTTGTTATATGAACCTTGCAGTTTTCCTAAAGGTGCCCCATGGGTTAGGTACCATGGCAACCATTTTTATTGTTGTTTTAGCCGTCGATGAGTTAATGTACTATCTCGTTCATTGTGTGTTTACGCTGTAACACATTCTGCAAAGTTTGCTCGAAACAACTGATGTGTGCTCTGTTCTAACTAGTTGGTGCCTGAAATTGCTTGTCCCATGGTCCCATTTTGAATGGCATCCTATTGACATATTTTTTGCTTGCTTTTAATACTTCTTGGCCACATCCGTTCTGACTAATCAACTTTTTATCACTTATAGTGATGATTATGAGGACCGCATAGCGCTTGACTTAAACAAAACCATCACTGACGTGCTTATGATGATCAAATAAACAGCCCGCCACTTATCACTAATTGAGGTAGTCTTAATGAAGATAGATCGTGCATTCCCTTGTCATATTAGTAGACCTATAATTTAACCCCAATCCTTTCATTTGTCAAGGGTGAAAATTGGAAAGAGCAAATGTACCTTATCGTTCTTTCATTTAGCATGCAAATTTCTACATTACTTGCAAATTTTGTGTTGTGCAGTCTCCTACATTACTTAAGCATCACAATGTAGCATGGAAATTTTGTGTCATACTGTTGTTCATCGTCTATTTATTTTTTTGCCAAATTCTACTAATGATCCTGTGTTTCTGAATTGGTCAATTGGTCTGCCCACTATAATTTCATTTAATATATATCTTCCATTGATAAACTCCGGTCCCCTAACCACCTGTTTTTCTGGCCTCAAATCACAACAACAAATGAATGGCCCAAATCAAAACTGCCCTCAAATCACAAGTACTCCTTGCAGGCGCGGCAACGCCGCGCGATACTTTCTAGTACAGCCATATACATGCATGCATGAGTTAGCCAACTACTTTAGCATCAGAGGACGATAGTGTGACTGTGTGCTAGTGTGTAGTCACCGGTCTCGCCAGCTCATGCTAGCTAGCTCAGCTGGAGGTTGAAACCGGCCAGGGCCAGTAGTGTGTGGATCATTACGGACCTGGTATTGGACGTCGATTCCTTTGCTCTTGTACTCGACGTAAAGGCTTCTGGAGAGCTGAGCGACGTACCTGGATAGGATGAACGTACACCACACATTAAATAAATATTTTAAATATATAAAGTTTTACTAGTATCATTTATAATTATTAGTAGTAGTGTTGTACCATGATCATCAGCATCGCGCTATCAAGAAGTTATTTTTAAGGTTCCCATTCCATCTAGCCATTAATGGATATGTTTATTTAACGTTGACGTGCATGCGCACGCATTGAAGGCACGAAAGATACACAAAAAAATTATATTATTTTATTTTGTTCTGCTTTATATTATGTATACGTACGTCTTCAATTTCGCAATGTTTGATTGGTTTATTTACATGCATGCCTAGACAGCATAATATTATGTTATTTATAGAACTGGCTCAAATTTGTACGCATTTATTGGATATAGATAGATTAGGCACAGAACTCGGCCCGGGGGTGCTCATCGGTGGTGTTCAAATTTCGGCAAAATTTCGCTGAAATTTCATGAATTTCAGCAGTGGCTGAAAAAAATCCAAAATTTTGTAATATACTAATACACGTGCTAGGTAACTCTGGACTCATATTTTATATTATTTATGCTACATATTCTTCTACTCAATAGATGTGTAGTCATAAATTATGCTAATATTTGTTTAGATCTATTTTTTTTAGAAAAAAACATAATTCATGCATAAGTCTCTAAAACGTTTTAGCAAAAAATTCAGCCGAATTTCACGAATTTCAGGGGTGGCCAAGTTTTTTATAGCAAAATTGAAAACCCTGCTCATCGGGTCATCTGACCCGATAAAGTTGTTATATTAGAATCAGTGAACACTCTTCCTATAGTTTTGACCTAGCCTTGGATAGATCCCAGTACTCTAAAGTTGTTAAAACAGAATATATCCGTCTAATAAGGTCATCTGATGTCAAAAAATTCTTCACTTATATGTCGTTTTCTAGGTATCGGAACAAACAAGTATTATAAAAACCAATTAATAACGTGGAATTGATCAAAGGTTTTAAAACTGTATTTTATAATTTATATCTGAGAAAAGTAATGCCTTTTGTGAAATCATATGTCTAGGTAACATTAAGTTGTTTTGGCCCCTCCTGTCAATTGAATTTTTTTATGCACTTATACCGTCTTCTAGCTATATTTACACTATCTTATTACTATATTTACAATGATTTTTTAGTATAATTTATTGAACAAGGTGATGTAATTTGTAAATAACACAAATATATATCAATTTTTTTTAAAAAAATTTACAAATTTTATTCTATAGATTCCAGATATTAGAGATATATATATATATATATATATATATATATATATATATAATTGTTCATAAATATCATCAAATTGTTCACAAACTTACAAATTTACAAATTTTTCTATAGCGAGAAGCGTGCATGACGAACTACATGCGACGTGTCCTGGATCCGATCACGCAGCAGCTAACTGCATGCGACGTGTCCTGGATCGATCACGCGCCCAGCTAGCAGGCACGGCGGCCGCTGCTCCACTTTCGCCACGTACTACGCACGCATGGATGATGGATGCATACATCTAACAAAGCTGGACGCATCGGACGCCCTGGGCCATCGCCGGACGACAAGCGAACGGCCCAAAAATCAGTTGATACAAGCTCCTAAATTAACCGGGTGATAGATAGCAATACCGCTTCAAAATAGAAGTATATACACTAGTACAAGTCTTCCAAAAAAGCCTAGTCACATATATTGCTGGTTTCGTACGTGTACCGCTTGTCATATATAGCTGTAAATACAATTAGTTGTTCAAACTTTTGATGAGAACTCCGACGCTGCAAGCTTGTTTTAGTAGCATGTAAAATCGTTAGAACGAAAGGAAGCATATATAATGTCACATCACGTACTTTTTGGTGGAGCTGTAGACGGTGTACAGGGGGAAGGACGGGACGGCCACCGTGGAGCCCGAGCCAACGTTAACGATGGCACCCCTCCGGCGCGCCAGCATCCTCGGCAGCACCGCGGCCGTGACCTCGGTGAGCCCCCACAGGTTCACCCGTATCATCCGCACAAACCGCTCGATGTCCGCCTCGTGCAGGTACACCGCGCCAGGCGTGTTCACCGCCGCGTTGTTCACCAGCATCCCCACGTCCAGCCCCTCGATCGCCTCCCGCAGCCGCCGGATCGCCGCGTCGCCTGCCAGGCATGCAATTCAGACGCCGACGGTGTTGTGTGGATCTCATGCATGCATCGTCTCACCTTCAGGGGTGGCGACGAGGGAGAGGTCTAGAACCACCGTCTTTATCTTCACGGGGTGGAGGGACTTGATGGCGTCGGAGGTCTCCCTGAGGTTGTCGGAGTTGAGGTCGAGGAGGACGAGGTTGAGGCCCCGTCGCGCGAGCTCCATGGCCATGGACCGGCCGAGCCCGGAAGTCGGGCCAGTGACGATGGCCCATGAGCCGTAGCGGTGGAGGTCCTTCGGACGGCGCAGGCACAACACCAGGTAGGCGAGGGGGCGGCCGCAGATGGCGGCGATGTACAGCGCGCCAAGGCACGCTAGTGAGACGAACCAGACAGGCACGTCCTCCATTATCTCTGTTTCTGCTTGTGCTTCTGCTTCTTGCTAGCTCCTGCACTGCAGGGGTACCCAGCAGAAGCCACTATATATGACTGTGTAGTGGTGCACTGGCGGCAAGAGGAAGCCATCCATATATAGACCATTCAATATGTGGGTGTCATTTGCACTTTCCGTTTATGTGCCCATATGGTCGACTGTAGCTCGTAGCTACCAGCTCTCCAACTAACTGATAGGGCTAAGCTATTAATTAATTCCTCATTCATACGGGCGGAGAGTACTCTGTTTAACTTTAGAGTAAAATGCATGGTTAGCCCATCAACTTGTCTACTTATATCAATTAGGTCCTCTAACTTTGAATTTTCATTTCTGAGTCCAAAACATTTTTAAGTGGTGCACAAATAGTATATACTGGTTCGTTTTTGTGTTTATAACAGTTGACTGTACAACCTGGCCGATAACTCGGAGAAGAGGTCACGTGTAGCAAAGCGCGTGTGAGCAGTGGACTGGTCGGTCTTTTTAGCAAAAAAACAACTTGTTTCTTCCTTCCTATTCCCTATAGGGGAGGCCCTCCCACTCTCCGTCTCCTATGTTCTTTTCTCCAGTAGGCAACTTGGCGGTGGTGGTGGAGGCAGATCCTTGGCAAGTGACTTCATGGCCCCGTTCGCTTCGCTGGAAAAACAAGCCGAAACACTGTTCCGGCTGATTTGTTGTGAGAGAAAAAACTGTCCCGGCTGAAAAAATAAGCTGAAAAGTACGGATTATAAGACAAGCGATCAGGGTTACATGTCGTTTGCAGCCAGTGGCGGAGCTCGTCAATTTTCACACCTAGGGCCGCTATCCAAAGACTTATGTATACATGTGAACATTTTGCAAGCCATTTGCATTACTAGCTAATTCTTCTACTAGTTTTGATTGTGCCTATACAGAATGTTAGTTTCATGACAGTGGTTGTATAACTGGTTAAGCATATAAGAAAAAAATATTCCATGTCTTAGTCCTCTTTATTGTGTAATTCTACGACTCTCCAAAAATCCAGAAACACACAATCATTAATTTATTCATGGAATTGGCAAATGACAAGTGTCTTGAGGATCCCTGGATCCGGAAATCCAAGTTCCAACTTAAAATGGAGCATGGATTTAGGGTTTGGGATGAGGAATTTACTTGCTACTGTTGGAGTGCTGCCTGCCTGCCTCTTTAGTCTATGGTCTCTATTGCTGTGTGCTGACGTGCTAATCGCACCCTTCTCCAACCAGGAGCGTGATGGCCGTCCGCCAGCCCTACTTTGATATGGCGCACAGCTGTCTGCCGAGACCCAACTCTGAAGAGTCCTACTCGTTATCGGCCCGCGCCTTGCTCTGATTTGATGCGCCCCTTGCTGGTCTAGCCATACGATGGCCTAGGATTCAAAGCAGGAAATAAACGAAAAGAAAGGCGGCGTCTACTGCACGAGAGTCGACGACTCACACACATGTGACGACGTGAGCCAGGTGAATAGGCGCTACTACCTTGGGCCTTTGCCTTGCTGGACTGGTCGGCTAGGAGTTAGACTATATCAAAGCAACGTTGGGCCACCTCAGGGGAGTAAAGGGATCTCTTGGGCCATGCCTAGGGCCACGGCCCTAGTTGCCCCAGGCCCATATCCGCCCCCGTCTGTAGCAGATTCAGGCAGATCATGTTTGTCATGCCCCTACGATGGAAATCATTTAGGTTTTCAAAGGATGGACGACAAGGTTAAGGATGGACTAGTTCTAAGTGTCGTTTGGTGTTGAAGAGACACTTAGAGTAGTTTATGACTTTGTTTTTCCTTTGGCCGTACTATTAAGGGGGGTATGGACTAGTAGCTTGACCTAGGTGAGTCTAGTGGGTTAGGTGTGGTGCACACTTATCAAATCTAGCACTAGGTAGCTCAAGAGTAGCCCTAAGATCAATTGGAGCAAACTTCATTCACATATAATTTCGAGTTGGAAGTGAATGGAGGGTCAAATGATTGACCTGACGCTAGTCTGGTTGTGATCGGACGCTGAAGGGTGAGTTTAGTCAGTTCATTTGATCAACTGAAGCCATCTGGTTGCGACCGGATGCTGAGTGAAAACTGACCGGACACTGGGTGCTAGAGTCCGGTCAACTCCAGAGAGGTTCTAGAGAGGGAATTTCCTGATCGGACGTGTCCGGTCAGTGCTGACCGAACGCTGGTTAGGATCCGGTTACTGACCGGATGCTGAATAGCGAAGTGACCGGACTTTGGGCGCCAGCGTCCGGTCAACATCAGTAAGGTTCCAGAGAGCAGTTTTCATGACCGGACGCAGGTCAGAGTTCGGTCACAACTTAACGGTTCTATGGCGGGGATAACTGACCGGAGCGTTCGGTCACCTTGATCGGAGCGTCCGATCACCCCGTAGAGTGCTGACGCAACCTCCTAATGGTTCGTTTTGAATGAGTGGGTATAAATACTTCCTCTATTCATCCAAGGGAGGTCTCTTGCCCATTTGTTCAGCTGAGAAACACCCTTGAGAGTGCCAAGGAGAGCAAGAGCCTAGTGAGGTGATTGAGATTTGGGAATCCAAGATTAAGGCCTCATTAGTGCAAGGAGAGTAGCAAGTGTGCGTCTACCCTTCTCATTAGGCTTGTTGTGGTCAAGTGAGAGTTCATGCTTGTTACTCTTGGTGATCACCATCACATAGACGGCTTGGTGGTGATCGGGAGTTTGGTGATCATCTAGCGGAGCTTGTGGATGACCCAACTCAAGTTGTGAGCGGTTGTGGGCGATTCACCACGATGGAGTATCGAAGAATCAGCCCATAGAGAGCACTTGATCCTTGCGCAGATCAAGGGGGAACTACACCCTTGCACGGGTGCTCCAACGAGGACTAGTGGGGAGTGGCGACTCTCCGATACCTTGACAAAACATCGCCGCGTTCCTTCTCTCTCTTTACTTTAAGCATTTACATTTGAGCAATTCAATTCTTGTCTTTACATTCTTAGAATTGCCATGCTAGAGTAGGATTGGAACCTAGGGTGCAAAACTTTTATGTGGTAGATCAATAGGAACACATACTAGGCACAAGGGGTGAAGTGGGCTAAGTGTAGGGTTTAATTATTGCAAAGAATTTTTGAATTAGCCCAATTCACTCCCCTCTTGGGCATCTTGATCCTTTCAATTGGTATCGGAGCCTCGTGCTCACAAATTTAGGCTTAACCGCCTAGAAAAAGATATCCCACGGGGATGGACTTCCTCCTATATTTGAGGGAGATGATTTTCCTTATTGGAAAATCTGCATGGAGGCTTATTTAGAAGCCTTAGATGTTGGAATACTTAGAGCCGCCTCACAAGGCTTTCCAAAACCTAAGGATCCCACCAACCTTCAAGGCGATGAAGTAAATTACGAAAAATGGAATGCAAAGGCTAGAAACACCATCTTTAGAGGCCTTTGCAAAGATGTGTTTAATCGTGTGCGGAACCACAAGGACACCCATGCACTATGGTAGGACATTTGTGCGCTTCATGAGGAAACAAAGAGTGAGCGTGAGGAACGCTATCATCTTGTCATGAAAAAGCTTAATTCTTTTGAGATGCTTCCTAAAGAAAGTGAGATGTACTCACGCTTAAATGTTCTTATAGAGGAAGTCAATGGGCTCGGACTTACACAAATGCAACCATCCGATGTTGTAAGAAAGATCTTGAGTGTCCTCCCCATTGACAAATATGGGCACATTGTGACCGTGCTTCATCAAGGTAATCTTTCCACCGCTACACCAACTCAAATCTTGTGAAATATCAATGCACATGAGATGTATATGCACATCACACCGCAAGATGGCTCTTCTTCCACCAAGAAGAAAGACTTGGCATTCAAGGCTAACCATGAGAAGGGCAAAGCAAGAGTTGAATATGAGAGCTCAAGTGATGATGAAATTGATGATGCAAGTCTTGCTCTCATGGTGAGAAGAACCGCCAAGATGCTTAAGAAGCTCAACAAGAACAGTGTCAAATTTGATGGCAAAAAGAAGAAGTTCTTCACTAGCAATAGAAGGAAGCCAATCTCCGAGATGGATTGCTATAATTGTGGAGAACTTGGTCATCTAGCACATCAATGCCACAAGCCAAAGAAAGACAAATACAAGAATAAGAACAAGGGCAAGAAAGATGACTCAAGTGATGAAGATGAAGATGAGAAGAAGAAAAACAAGCCTTACAAGAAGAAGGATGGCAAGAAGAAGGATTTCCACAAGAAGAAGAAAAATGGCAAGGCATACATCGTTGGTGATTGGCTCACGGATATTGATTCATCAAGTTGCTCATCCGATGATGATAGTGAAAATGAGAAGGTAGCCGCTATTGTGATTGACTCTTCATCATCTTCACCGCCACCACCGCCACCATCCTTTACACACCTATGTCTTATGACTAAGGGTGAACGTAAAGTATCAAATGATGATGATAGTAGTGGTGATGATCATGCTAGCAATGATGATAGTGATAGTGATGATGAATTTGAATCATCTTCTTATGATGATCTTGTCTAGTTGCTTAATCAATATACTAAGATCATTAGAAAGACAAGGGCTAAAAATGAAAAGCTAGAACTTAAGAATGACTCACTTTTAGCTAAATGTGACATAGCGGAAAAGGCTAGTGTTGAGCTTGGAGAAGCAAATGAAGCTATGTCATCCAAACTCAAGGAGCTCAAATCTTCTAAGAAAGAGCTTAAAGAAAAAACATGATAAACTTGAGGGGATACATAATGAGCTCATCACTAGCTACAATATGCTAAAAGAAGAATATACAAATCTCAAGATCAATCATGATAATCTTGTTGTCTCTAATGAACTATTATCCAATGAGCCACATGATGCTACTAACCATGTTGTTAAGATTGATATAGTTACATCATGTGATGATTTGATCATTGAGAGCATTGAGCAAGGTTCTAGTTGCAAAGGCAAGCAAGTGGTTGAGTCCAACAACTATGATGAGTATGTCAAGATCAAGAATGGGAATGAGAAGCTTA